GCCACTTTCATACAGATGAATCATCGAGAGGGCACTGTCAGCCCATATATTCTAGGTAATATCCTGTTACTCTCACACAATGTTAAGTAGATGGCATGTCTTCATGAAAAACCGTAACAAAAAGATACGAAAGCGGAATTTGCAAAACACGTGCATTGTTCATATACTGTCTATCGTGTGTCTATTTTTTGTTTAATTTTACAGGTGATGCCACCCCAGCCTATTTCTCATTTAACGAATTCTGGGACATGTTGCCTGGCAACGAGGGATGCAAAGAGCCGTGTGTGACAAATCCCGATCTCATTCATCATCTGAACCCTCGCGCAAAACTGATACTGTCTCTCAGGAACCCTACAAAAAGGTTGGTAGAATAGAAATTCGGGCACCTGTTTATGATGAAAGTATTCATTTTTATTTTATTTTTATTTTCTGCTGTTGTATTTTTTAAATATTTTTATATATATTATTCAAAAAAAGAAACGCAAAACCCAGAAATCTGTTGCGAAAATGTTGCATTTTCAAACATGTATAACTCGTCCACAAATGGAGTTTAGTGCATAACTTTTTACAGCAGTTTAGGAAATGTCTATACAACCAAGTGGATAATTTTAGTTAACGGAGACGTTGAGCGCGATGGCGACGGTAACGACGTCGGGTCTCCTGGCTCTCAGTCCAATCTCTCTCAACCTGTTCCGTACCGTACCGAAGTCCAGGCACCCTGGCTGCAATGCTCTCATCCGTGGCAGTACGATCACGCAAATGTAGAACCCGGATGTACCGATCTTGGGCGGCAGTAGTGACTCGAGGTTGGGACGGTCATTTGTTATACCTGTTTGGTTGTAATGAGCTGCAATCCTCGATATCGTGCTCAGACTAACATTCAGACGCCTGGCAACAGAAGATCAATAATCTCCAGCGTGCATTCTTACAATGGCGATGTTCCGTGTCGCAGCGTCAATACGTGGCATAGTGATTTGACCTTGAAACTCCTTCAAAACGAATCCCTATTTCAGAAAGTAATCTGGGTATTTATAGCCAGACAGTGCATGCTCTTTGCTGCACAATTTCAACTGGAAGGTGATTTCTGTTGCGTTGTGGCGATGCCTTTTTAATCATTGTATAAAAACCTCATCAAAATCAGCATTTTCAGGTCAAGTCTATTGTTTACTTGTATATTTGTGTAAAATCATGTTATCAACACTGTTGTTACAAATGTTTTAATTGGTTGAACACTATAGGTAATTAATAGATTTTTTAAAATAAAAATGCCTATGCGTTTCCTTTTTTGGAAAGAATATATAATATGTATGTTTCTTAAACAAAAATCTATGTCAGCTGATTAGAGGTATGTGGAACAGTTTAGGTTGAACTGTAATGGTTAGGGTTTTGTATTAGTGTCAGTATTATCACACAAACTATGTAGTAAAATGTACATAGTATTTAACGGTACATGTATTCTTGTAAGGTTCGTGTATTGATATAACTGCACAAAATAGTATGGGGTGTACATGGATTCACATCAACGTGCATTCCTTTCTTTGTAGACTATACTCCTACTATTTCCACAAGGCTGGCTTTACAAAGAGAAAGGTGTCGAAAGAAGATTTTCACGACCTAGTTGTAAGAGAGATAAATAGATTTGAAGATTGTCTGACGTCACAATCCCTCCGAGGCTGCTGCTACAACTACACAAACTCCTACTCTAAGACTCACGAGGTTGGTGTGACGGATCGCATTGATCCTGTAACCAAATACCATTAGCAACTATACTCTGCTTAAAGAGCGGATTTCTTCTGGGTGTTTGAAGGATGTAGTCGCTATTAACCTATTCAGCCCATTGTTGGGAACAAGTATTGGGTAGGACGATCCGACACTCTTGGTTACCTGTCGGCTCTTGAGAGAGACAGTCCCACCTCTGGCATCTGCAATTTGTTGAATGTCCCCTGGATACTCCTCATAAAGTGAATGAAAGAGTGTTGTTTACGCCGTTTTTTGGCAATATTCCAAGGCTGTGACATCAATATCACGACGAACCCGGGGAATCGAACCCGGGGCTTCAGCGTGACGAGCGGACACTTTAATCACTATAGGTTACCCCGCTGCCCTTAATGCAGAGCTGTGTCGTGATGTCGTAAAATGGGATGTTATTATTATTATTGGATATTTATATAGCGCAAATATCCACGCAATAGTGCATGCTCAAGGCGCTGGTATTTTTCCCCTCGATCATTGGATGTCAATCTCAACGGCACATCTTATTATCAATCTCAGCTCCCTGGGGATTACCGGTATACAACTCTTGCTGCCAGAAGGCGCATCGAGTTATTGGGGCTTTCCCATCCTTACGAGGTACCCATTCACAGCTGGATGGACTATGACACATAGTCACAGTACTTTGTCCAAGTTTACTGCACGTTGCTGTACCCGCAAATAGATGTTTGCACGTATTCATGTGGCCACCATCTGGTCATATACCAACGGATTCGTGGGTTCATTTAAGTGCACAGGGTTGTGTACTTTTACACTAGGGGTTGTGACATCACTGAAAGAGTCTGCACATAAAGTTGACTCCAAGGTTTTTACACCCGGTCACAGGTGGGCTCGATCCCGGCACCTCATGCTCGCTGGATCACTAGCCTGGCGCCAGCTCGCCCACGGCGCCCCTCAATATTGATATAGGATCTCCCCTTCTAATTACCCAGAATAAGCAGGTGCTCGAGTTGAGCGATTCTTCTACAGTACAGTGCACCAGGAACCTAGTGCCCTTGGTGCTGCTGTCACTGGTGCATGCCTCGACCACTATCACCACACCCACCATCACAACCCATTACATCTCACCACAACAGAGGTGATCATATCATCTCGATTTTCCAATTACCCTTTTGATATTGTTTTACGCTGCACTGTCTGGCGGCGGTCTGTAAATAATCGAGCCTGGACCAGATAATCGACAGCATGAGCATCGATCTACGCAATTGGGATACGATGACATGTGTCAACCAAGTCAGCGAGTCTGTCCACCCGATCCCGTTAGTTGCCTCTTACGACAAGCATGGGTTGCTGAAGATCAGTTATAACCAGGATCGTCATGTGTCGTGTGGACTGGAATATGCTTACCTCCTTCATATAACAAGATTGTATAGTTTGTATGATGTCAAGAGCATGTGTTACACAAAACGAATCTCTATTGAACAGTGGTGGCACATGCAGAGGCTAGTCAATTGTTCACCTCAAACAACACATGCATTTGGGGGACGTCGATATAATCTGACATCGGTAGTGCTACAATATAGGTAAATTTACAATATATACCTGCTCACTCACTGACCCTTTCATTATCAACATTTGACAAATGTAAGAAACAGACTGATTATTCCTCAGATTGATCTCCAGCGAGGTATCTACCACGTGTTTCTGTCTGACTGGTTGAAAGTGTTTCCGAGAGAGCAGCTCTACGTCCTCAACTTCGAGGAATATTCCATGGATGTTTCTAACCATCTGGCAGGAGTTTTCAAATTCCTTAAATTAAGTGAGTATACAAGACCGTTTTAATTTTTTCATGTAGAGGAACAATTAAGTTTAACAGGAAGGGGCGGTGAGGTAGCCTAGTGGTTAAAGCTTCCCTCGTCGCGCCGAAGACCCGTGTTCGATTCCCACATGGGTACGATGTGTGAAAATCATTTCTGGTTTGCCCCGCTGGAATATTGCTAAAAGCAGCTTAATACTAAACTCACTCACTTTAATTGTTGTTGTTGAACTTAGTTAAACAAAACGGCAAATACTATTTCCAAGATCACTGTAAATCTCTGCTGGCCCATTGTACGACTCCGAGAATATCCTGACCATCTGTTTATGAATCACTACCACGTGAGGATGAAACTAGGCTTTCACACACACTATATAAGTTTGTTCGTTACAGGGACGTTATCGGAAACAGAATTGAAGAACATCGTTGATGAGAAGGTTGCTTATCAAAGACGTTACGGCCAGGACGTAGGTGACATGCTGAGCAAGACACGTGACCTTCTGGACACCTTTTACAGACCACACAACGAATATCTTTCGGAATTGATGGGACGCCCAAACTGGTGAACTGGTGAGATGTTCACAAAGTCCATAAACCTGAAACTGTTTGTGAAACGAACTGCGATTGGCTTGAAATGATGTTGTTTATCTTCAGTAAACCTACCAAGTGATGTGTCAGTATTATCATCCATGTACCAACCCATGGACCTTATTGTAATTAAATGAATAATCTGCATCACGGTGTTTTCGTGTGTTTAATGTGTATAGCTTATTTTAGGTCAAAGAGTGAACTTCCATACAAACAGCATACCGAAGCAATTTGTTGAGATTAATGTTTTGCTTTAGTTCTGGTTAACTTGTCTCAATGTCAGCGAGCAGGCATTACCTAGCATCAGCTGAAATGGGCAGTGACAGGGAGCATCTGCCACCGCCAGCAGACAAACTCCATAATATGTGTGTCAGAACAGGTCTGTCGGCATATCTTGGACATTTCTAGAGCTAATATTCGGAGATATGTATTCTGTTCTTCGCTTTGATATTCCTGCCGATGGTACCATGGTATCGTGGGCTTACAGACCTCATACGTCGGTAACAGTCCACACTCTTTGATCAACAAGGAGCTTACTAAACGTGGAAGGAACAGATATCTGACGTTTCAGTGCATGTATGTGTATATGTGAGACTGAGACCAACTGTACAACTCCAACTGGTAGGGGGTTTCTGTGGAATATGTCCCTCCTACAGTCGATCGTATCATTAGGTTAATGAAGAACGTTGGAACAACGCCTCGGACATGAGGCGTAATGCATAAAGGAGTAATTTCTTGCATGTACATCAACAATATAACTCTGATGTTAGACCATCAACAATATAACTCTGATGTTAGACCATCAACAATATAACTCTGATGTTAGATACCATCAACAATATAACTCTGATGTTAGACCATCAACAATATAACTCTGATGTTAGACCATCAACAATATAACTATGATGTTAGACCATGAGCATTGGGGAGTATGGAGTGAGAGACTGGATATGTATCACCAGGTGCAGTGTGTTGAGAAGAAGTGCACCCAGCAGAGCTCTTTGCTGGGGTGAAGTCAGCTACCCCCAAACGTGAAACAGACGCTTGGTCCTCAGGACCAGTGACTTCCCACCTGTAATTGTCAATGTCCACACTCTTTGATCAACAAGGAGCTTACTAAACGTGGAAGGAACAGATATCTGACGTTTCAGTGCATGTATGTGTATATGTGAGACTGAGACCAACTGTACAACTCCAACTGGTAGGGGGTTTCTGTGGAATATGTCCCTCCTACAGTCGATCGTATCATTAGGTTAATGAAGAACGTTGGAACAACGCCTCGGACATGAGGCGTAATGCATAAAGGAGTAATTTCTTGCATGTACATCAACAATATAACTCTGATGTTAGACCATCAACAATATAACTCTGATGTTAGACCATCAACAATATAACTCTGATGTTAGATACCATCAACAATATAACTCTGATGTTAGACCATCAACAATATAACTCTGATGTTAGACCATCAACAATATAACTATGATGTTAGACCATGAGCATTGGGGAGTATGGAGTGAGAGACTGGATATGTATCACCAGGTGCAGTGTGTTGAGAAGAAGTGCACCCAGCAGAGCTCTTTGCTGGGGTGAAGTCAGCTACCCCCAAACGTGAAACAGACGCTTGGTCCTCAGGACCAGTGACTTCCCACCTGTAATTGTCAATGTGAGAGTTTGTGTGATTATGGGTACATTAGAACTAGATTATGCACAACACCTTGCCAATGGATGTCCTGCTTTGGCACAAATGCAGTAGTTTGAGGGGCATGATTCCCTTTATCACCGTCTTCGCCAAGCTCTTGGTTTTGACTTAGATGTCCACCCATAGTACGACCAAAAATATACAGAGGGTGTGGTGGAAAATGACAATGGTATAAATCTTTGGAATGATCCTATATACAACTACAGAGGTTTCCAAACCGACATAGCCAACCTTTTGTCTTTATCAATGCGAAATTCGACACGTATCACCTTACATTGTTCCTTTTGGCGTACGTCAAGTGAACAGTGAGATTTCCTAAAGGCTGGTTTATGATTAATCGATCCTTCGTTTGTGTTGTTAACCTTAAACGCCGTGTGCAGGGCCTTTCTCTTCAATATTTTGTATCTGCAGAAACTTGATCGAAAGTCAGCAAAACGCAGACTGAGACATGGTGGCTGACTGTATTGTGTCCAGCAGTTTGAAGCGTGCCACTAGCCCTTCATGGTGTAGACGGTACATTCTCGATCTGATCACATGCATTATAGCAAGAATAAAGAGCTGAAGCTGAGGATGATGAAAGTCAACATTTACTCAGAGTGGTTTCACGGACACAGAAGTGATATAATGGCCCCTTCACATGTCCACGGAGACGCCCCTGCTATAACGTGGTTGTACGTTAGTCGCCATCTTGCTAATGTAGGCGGGGTGGCTCTGTTGTCTAAGGCGCCGCAGTTTGCTCCTGTCCATTGGCCTCGTCAAACACACATGATCCCATGTTCGAATCCCGATATGTGAATGATGTCAGAATTGAGCAAAAACAGAATACCAGCAAAAAACATCTGTAGACAGTTTGTAGGAATCGGATCTAATATTTGGTTGACAGGACAACGAGTCTCGCTGTGTCAGGTCACTCCTTGCAAGTAGCACCGCTCAGTAGTTTGTAGAGGATAGGTCAAAGCTTACTGATAAATCATTCAGCATGGAAACCATGGGGGGGAGGATAAGTGTATATCGGTGTACGGATGTGATATCACGTGTATCACGCAACACACGAATCTGTTGTAACCGTCGTGCTTCAACAATATTTATTAGACTGCAAATAGTGGCAAAGATGAAAATATTCAGGTCAGATTACGATCGGGTTTTGCATCATCATGCTGTAAGATTAACCCCGTGTTGTTCTGGCATCAAGGGTCGGTGCTGCATCTGAAATCAGAGAGGTTGTCCACGGTATCGCAATGTTTCGTTGCCATAACAACAAGGCAAAAACAAGAAATGTATGCATTACAAATTTACTAAGCTGTAAAAAAGAGTATTTATAAAAGAGTTTTTAGGAATGTTTTGTTTGGCATTCCTTGAGCTTGAATAATATATTTTACCCTGTTTTAACAACACATGCATTCGCAATTGAAGTGCATGTGGGTGAAGATTAGAGTGAGGTTTGGTTTGTCTCGCCATTGTGGACATTGTATGTCAGACACATCCAGCATGCACATACAGCGGGACAAACACTACAAGGGAAACCCTCATATCAGGGACTTGCATCGGACCTCATGCCTATCCGTGATTTATCATATACTACATGGGAACACCTCATAACAGGGGCTTGCATCGGACCTCGTGTTTATCCGTGATTTATCAAACACTACAAAGAAACGCCTCATAACAGGGGCTTGCATCGGACCTCATGCATATCGTGATTTATCAAACAGTACAAGGGAACACCTCATAACAGAGGCTTGCATCGGACCTCGTGTTTGTCCGTGATTTATTAAACAAGTCCACCACAATAATCCTGAAAGCTTCACTGAGGCTTTGTTTCCACGAACACGTGTATGCCTCTGACAAACCATGAGTCATTACCTGGTAATCCAACCTCGATCACAGGTGCATGTCTAAGGGACACAGGCATGTGCTTGTAGTCTACAGCGTTAAGCTTTATGCTTCAGCTTCCATATGTACATTGGAAAGACTGTCGAAGAAATATGGCACTAATGTTCACCGCGTCTGGCGTGGTTACTACTTCTAATTGACACTAGCACAAATCAAAATTCACGCTCCTCCAGATAATTACAGACAGTCCTTACCTGTCAAAACGCTGTCACACTGACCTCCACTTCCTCCAGATCCACTAGTTAGTCATCTACACTCAGATAATTACAGGCGGACCTTACCTGTCACATTGACCCCCACTTCCTCCAGATCCACTAGTTAGTCATCTACACACAGATAATTACAGGCGGACCTTACCTGTCAAAACGTTGTCACACTGACCCCCACTTCCTCCAGATCCACTAGTTAGTCATCTACACACAGATAATTACAGACGGTCCTTACCTGTCAAAACGTCGTCACATTGACCTCCACTTCCTCCAGATCCAGTAGCTAGTCATCTATACACAGATAATTACAGTGAGCGAGTGAGCGAGTTTAGTTTTACGCCGCACTCAGCAATATTCCAGCTATATGGCGTCTGTCTGTAAATAATCGAGTCTGGACCAGACAATCCAGTGATCAACAGCATACGCATCGATCTGCGCAATTGGGAACCGATGACATATGTCAACCATGTCAGCGAGCCTGACCACCCGGTCCCGTTAGTCGCCACTTACGACAAGCACTGGTTAGCGAAGGCACATTCTAATCCGAACCTTCACGGGTCAGATAATTACAGACGGTGCTTACCTGTCAAAACGTTGTCACATTGACCCCCACTTCCTCCAGATCCACTAGTTAGTCATCTATACACAGATAATTACAAACAGTCCTTACCTGTAAAAACGTTGTCACATTGACCCCCACTTCCTCCAGATCAACTAGTTAGTCATCTATACACAGATAATTACAGACGGCCCTTACCTGTCAAAACGTCGTCACATTGACCCCCACTTTCTCCAGATCCACTAGTTAGTCATCTATACACAGATAATTACAGACGGCCCTTACCTGTCAAAACGTCGTCACATTGACCCCAACTTCCTCCAGATCCACTAATTAGTCATCTATACACAGATAATTACAGACAGTCCTTACCCGTCAAAACGTTGTCACACTGACTGACGCGTAGCTACTGGAACCATATTTATTCATAGCATTTATCCTAATCTCGTAGACTGTTGCAGTTTTGAGACCACCCAGTGTTAGTTCAAGGGCGTGGAGGTCCCGTGGCACGGTGGGGTGGGTGGTCCATTGTCCGTCACGTCCGTCACGCTGTCTGTATTCTATGTTGAAACGTTGCTTGGAGTCTCCGTTGTACCCTTTCTCCCAGGTGATTGTAATGGAACTGGTGTCGGCATCTGCGGCTTGAAGATTCGTCGGTGCCTCTGGCTTACCTGCATGGAATATAGCTCACGTCTTAAAAACGCACAATGGAATGTCAAACATTGATCAGATCTACTTGCACGTAAGCAGTTTTCCTTAAACAAAACTAGCTACCCCCAAGACATATTTCATTGCTCACAACGATGTGTATTTATTTCTATGGGGCCAAATTTCCTTCCACTCCACCAATACATACTTTACAACCTTCCTCCCACTCCACCAATCACAAACTGTATTACATAGTCTACAACCTTCCTCCCGCTCCACCAATCACAAACTGTATTACATACTCTACAACCTTCCTCCCACTCCACCAATCACAAACTGTATTACATAGTCTACAACCTTCCTCCAACTCCACCAATCACAACCTGTATTGCATGGTCTACAACCTTCCTCCCACTCCACCAATCAAAACCTGTATTACATAGTCTACAACCTTCCTCCCGCTCCACCAATCACAAACTGTATTACATACTCTACAACCTTCCTCCCACTCCACCAATCACAAACTGTATTACATAGTCTACAACCTTCCTCCAACTCCACCAATCACAAACTGTATTACATACTCTACAACCTCCCTCCCACTCCACCAATCAAAAACTGTATTACATACTCTACACCCTTCCTTCCACTCCACCAATCAAACCCGGTCTTACATACTCTACAACCTTCCTCCCGTTCCACCAATCAAAAATGGTATTACATACTCTACAACCTTCCTCCCACTCCACCAATTCAAAACAGTCTCCATTTATCCTACAACCTTATGTCTACTTCTATCAACGAAAATCTGTCTTACATATTCTAGAGAGTGAGTTAAATTGAATAGGCACGATGTATATGTGATCATTTACATGCGTCGCGTGACAGGAGCACGATGAAGCCGGGGTTTGCTGTTTTTTGTTACCGTATCAGTGAGTCAGTCAGTCAGTCAGATGCGTCATGTGTAATCGGATACTGTTTTCAAAATGGTTCAGTAGATTAAGCGTTTTGACTCTGAAACTCCAAAGCCGTTTTAAACAAACCTCACTCATTCACCATATTTATAATTACCGTAGATAATCAGGTGAATCTCACTAATCATGATGTTGTCCCCGACTCTCCATCTACAGGTGTACGTTCCTTGCTCTTCACTGGTCAGTTGATTAAGCTGAAGACGTGTTCCATCGGGCAGGTGCATTGCGTAGACCCTGAATACAGAAGGTGGGACAATACCACTGTCTAGACCCTGATACAGAAGATGAGACAATACCACTGTGTAGACCCTGATACAGAAGATGGGACAATACCACTGTGTAGATCCTGAATACAGAAGATGGAACAATACCACTGCGTAGACCCTGATACAGAAGATGGGACAATACCACTGTGTAGACCCTGAATACAGAAGATAGTACAATACCACTGTGTAGACCCTGAATACAGAAGATGGAACAATACCACTGCGTAGACCCTGAATACAGAAGGTGGGACAATACCAAGAGTGGTATAGATCCTGAACCACTAGGTGGGACAATTTCACTGTGTAGACCCTGAATACAGAAGATGGGACAATACCACTGTGTACCTGAATACAGAAGGTGGGACAATACCCTTGTGTAGGCCCTGAATACAGAAGATGAGACAATACCACTGTGTAGATCCTGAATACAGAAGATGGGGCAATACCACTATGTAGACCCTGAATACAGAAGGTGGGACAATACCACTGTGTAGATCCTGAATACAGAAGATGGGGCAATACCACTGCGTAGTCCCTGAATACAGAAGGTGAGACAATACCACTGTGTAGATCCTGAATACAGAAGATGGGGCAATACCACTATGTAGACCCTGAATACAGAAGGTGGGACAATACCACTGTGTAGATCCTGAATACAGAAGATGGGGCAATACCACTGCGTAGTCCCTGAATACAGAAGGTGAGACAATACCACTGTGTAGATCCTGAATACAGAAGATGGGGCAATACCACTATGTAGACCCTGAATACAGAAGGTGGGACAATACCACTGTGTAGATCCTGAATACAGAAGATGGGGCAATACCACTGCGTAGACCCTGAATACAGAAGGTGGGACAATACCACTGTGTAAATCCTGAATACAGAAGATGGGACAATACCACTATGTAGACCCTGAATACAGAAGGTGGGACAATACCACTATGTAGACCCTGAATACAGAAGGTGGGACAATACCACTGTAAAGATCCTGAATAGAGAAGATGGGACAATTTCCCTGTGTAGACCCTGCACACAGACGATATTAGTCGCAATCGTTTTGTTTGGGGTCATTACTAATGTTGTAACTCGTTCTGCTGAGACAGTGCAAGAAACTGGTTCCAGTTTTACACAAACAAAGTCCAAGTTGTGTTTCGAGCAATTCAAAATTTCCCAGTTAAACATCTACCCCTTTTATTTTACCGCGGTTTGGCTTTCCGGAAGTCTGAAGGGAAACCGGTTTCGTGCATCATTGATTAACTCGACCAGCGGTTTGAGTGCTAGCAGTGATCAGTAATACTACATCATTGTATACCGTGGGTACATCTCAACCGAAATGTGCAATAAGTTAGTCTGTCTCACAGTCCCTGAGCCATACTATTTCCCCTTCAGGCTAGCCCTCCCTGCAATGCTAAATCCCCTAATGAAGCAAGTCTAGATTTCCCCAGGTTTCTGGGCCCTGTTTCACAACGCTATCCTAGCGCTACGACTGTCGTACCTCCTGTACAGGGCCTAGATTTTCGAAGCTCTCTTAGCGCTAACATAGTAGTAAGTTAATGTTCATGCATGACACTTACGACTATCTTAGCGCTAAGAGAGTTTCGAACAGCTAGGCGCAGTATAGGAGGTACGACAGTCGTAGCAGTACGATAGCTTTGTAAAAACGGGGCCCTGGTCTCCCGGGGGCTCCTTTCAGTTTAAATGGGTCTATTTGTTACAATCAAAATTATATTCAGAGACTAAGCTACTGTCTAATAATAAGTGTACCTGTTGCGTATGGGATCATCTTCGATGAAGGGTCCAATGACATTGTCGTGTTTGTCCAACCACTCGAACTTGGCATTGTGCAGCTGCGTATCTGAAAGTCCCTTTGATTTGCAATATATCGATGTGGTAGTGTCTTTCATTCGCCGTATACTCTCTTCTACTGGAGTAATAACAATTTCGGGGGGGGATCTGAAGAGACAACATTCGTGTTAATTCGAAGCATGTTAAGCATGAGAAAACCGTCGCGGATTCTTGAGAGAATGGACTTTCAGGAATCTCAAGAATGGGCAAAGTTAGTCAGCTGGGAGGGGTGGGGGTGTATTGAGAGAATAGATTGACGTGACGTACAGGGGTGGAGTTAAATGTCATGTTGATGAACATGTACACACAAACTATTTTCATGTATTTTTGCACTGGCCTGTGGCGTACGAAAAAGCGTTCATGTATTCATATACATTGCGTTGTTGTGTGTGTGTGGGGGGGGTGGGGTTGGGGGGGTGTTCTATTGGACAGCGGACTTTAATTCGTAACATCTGGTATTTTTTATCAAATACAAACTATGTAAATATGTAAAAATACATATTTGAATTAACACCAGACAACAGTGAGTTCCTAAAGTGACTTCTACCTTAAATATTTACCGAAAAATTGGAGGCTTATTTCACGTAGGAGAAAGTTTCCGTCGATCCAGACTTGACACGTGTGTGTTCGGTTGTCGGCATCGGCCAGGTCGTCAATGTACATAGTGCTCCCCAAAGAGCTGTTCCGTGAGAATATCCTGTAAGAGTAACAGTGTGAGTGAGTAAGTTTAGTTTTACGCCAATTTTAGCAACATTCCAGGAATATCAGTTCTCTACTAATATCACACCGGGGGACACCAGAAATGGGCTTCACACATTGTACCCATGTGGGGAATTGAACCCGGTTCTTCGGCGCGACGAGAGAACGCTTTATCCACTTAGCTACCCCGCCGCCCCTCAAGTAACAGTGGGTGTGTGTTATCGATTCTGCTTTTAGCAGAGATTTCTTATAAATGTGGAAAGGGTTTTGTCACTTCATTAAAACAATATTCTATTTTCTTTCAAATAAATTGTCCAGCAGCGGCAATGTCAATCTTAAGACTTGTCCGACACAAGAATATAATGTCACATCACGCAACAGTTGATACAAACGTTCTACATCAGTCATGATAAATGAATGTGTAATGAGTTTAAAGGCGATTTAATCGCTCTTTGACGGTAGAACATGCATGAACAGATTATATTGGTCTAATGTTTGTTTCAAACAACCGACGTATATTTCCAAACCAAACAAACACCATTTTAAGATCATAACCTTACATAGAAGCATCATTTTTATCTTACGTACGTATTTCCTTTACTTTGAACAAGATAATCAACGTTAAACCACAACTAAAGTTTGGATCAATGGATATAATACGATCAAACTTATGTCCATATTGGTCACTACAATTCAGCGAGTAGGTGAGTGTAGTTCAACGCCATCACGAGCACGATTTCAGCTGCGTGATCACAAAAAGGAAAGGCGAAATAAGAGAATCAAGAGGTAATACTCACTGATGACGACACAGATATTTACTTTGGCGGAACATTTTTGTAAATTTTGTCTCTGTATTACATCACATACACACAGCCAACTATCAAAAGATACAAGGTTGATATGCTATTTGTCATATACGACTTGGATAACAAGCTTCAGTAGCAGAACTGATGTGGCGTCATTTGATTGTGACGTCACAGTTACGATGACGTCACAATGGCTTGCAAATATATCGTCACGCATTTTATCAAAGTGACACCTCCTTGGAAACATCGCTTGATCTCAATATCACATGTAAGAAATAGAAAACAGATAAATAATAATAAAATAAATAATAAAATGCATATTTATAATGCGCCCCTTCCACACCCTAAGGCATGCTCAAAGCGCTACAGAATATTTACACTGGAGTATTTACAGATGAAGTTATACATAATATACTGAGAAAAGGTGGGTTTTAAGTCTGGACTTAAAAATGTCAATTGTGGCAGAGCTTTTAAGGGCACATGGGAGAGAGTTCCAGAGCACAGGCGCGGAGTAAGAGAATGATCGGTGTCCGAAGGATTTCAGTTTGTAGGATGGGATGACCAGTCGGTTTTGTGTTTGAGCGCAAGTTGCGTGCGGGGACATACTGTAGGAGTTCAGACAAGTAGGAGGGAGCCAAACCATGGAGGCACTTGTATATCAGACAGAGGATCTTAAAGTCAATTCTGGCCCTAACTGGTAGTCAATGCAGTTCTTTCAACACTGGTGTTATATGGGAACGTTTAGAAGTCTTGCTGATGATGCGGGCGGAAGTATTTTGGATCTTCTGAAGCTTATCAAGGAGTTTAGAACTGTATACAGATCCAGTCAACGATGCAGAGAGAAAAAACATTCACAACCATTGAAACGGAATTGTTTCTACCTGTTCGTTTTCTTTGGGTCGTAAGGGGATACTTTAATGGAGTATGAGTGCATCCACGATACAGTTACACGTTTCGCTCCTGATGGTTTGGTCACCTGGCAGTGCAAAGATATGTCTGTCTTCTTCATCACTCTTAGAGGACTTTGTGATGGGAAGATAGATATTCCTGTAACACAAGCACGTAGGTTAAAACCGAAATCTTATCTAGAGGACAAACATCATCCAATCTGGATTGAACTGGTTTGTAGGCTTCCCCTTAATTCACACACAGTAGCAAGTCTTCCTGTACACCCGAACAAGTATACCATTGCACAGAACTTTACACTGGGGCTAAAACCTCCTGGTCTAATTTAGGTGGAAACATTATCAGATATTTTGATACTTTTTGCCTGGGACTATACAACTTTCTGATCGGGTGTCAGTCACTCCAACCATAGCCCACAGATCTGGTTGCATCGGTTTCATTTTCATGTCAAGCTGGTATTTCCATGTCGGACATATTTTACGAACGTTTCTGTACGCTATCGTGACGCACATTTATACGTAACATTCACCAAATCTTACAGAGTGCTGCAGGATGGACAGTTCATCATTTGGGTGGAACAAGAGATGGTAGAAAAAATGTCCGCGGTAAAAACGTACCGGAAGAAAAGAACTCCGGAAAAAAGTCCTGTTGTAATAAAAAACTATTTATTCATCAACTTTTATGTCAAAGATTTTAGAAAAACATTGATAACTCACACATATGGGTTATTAAATAGATAAATTGATCTTTTATCTTTTTAATGACACTTATTAAAACATGAAGTACTCACATGCAAAGGGTGATTAAAAGGACGTGCTAAATATTTAGACTGGTTGAGTACTGTCACTGGTACCTTCATACGCAAACAAGCTCTGCAGTAACATGGCAGCAGGAAGAATATCAATCCCCAAGTTCCTACATGGCGTGGCAGTGAACATTAGAATGAATAAGACTCAATAGACATTCCAGACCTGTGCTGTATGACGTGGCGTGGCAGTACACATTAGAATGAATACGAGTCAGTAGACATTAATATTCATCAATATTCTGTAGTAGGAATAAAGCTGAAAACCTCTGTAATGTAAACATGATCTGTCTATTTTACGTTTGTTGTATGAACATAGTTATATGTTGTATGAAAACATCTGTAATGTATACAGGATCTGTCTATGTTACGTTTGTTGTATGAACATAGTTGTATGTTGAATGAAAACCTCTGTAATGTAAACCGGATCTGTCTATTTTACGTTTGTTGTATGAACATACAATACATGGAAGTCAATAAACGCTATGAAAAACTAAAAAATGCGTTTTATTCTTATTTCGAAATAGGACTCCTTTCCGGAAGACTTTTTTCCCAGGCACATTTAGGACTTTTTTCAGGTACTGTTTTTTCGAGGACTTTTTTTTCCGCACACCGAACAAGACACCGAAGTCTTCACATATAGAAACCTTCGGTCAGCAAAAAGGTTTGTCATTGTCAACCGAAACCCCTCGGAGTAAAGTTTTACTCTTTTCGCAAAACATTCTAAGGATTGACTGACCGTAGACGTTGACCTGTACTTGTTTCACTATTGTGAGACCACCAGTAATCACACGGCATGTGTATAGTCCATGGTCTTCAACCTTGACGTCATCAAAGTGCAGACGTGTTCTCAGAGACAGTTGTTCTGTGTGGATCCTGCAACCAGAAGCAGACAAAAGAGACCTATAGAAAACAAACCCGAAATGGTTTCACACTCATGTGCGGGGGCTCACAAATATTTGATGCTCGGAGAATTCATTATACATTTCTGTACCCGCGGATCCGTAAATATATGACGTAAACGCTTCGGTATTAGAAGACCGGAATTTGTGTTCAACAGATTCAACGAGACGTAGAAGGCAAAAGAGGTTAATTGACAGTTGAATGAGTGGATCCCTCAAAGTCAGTTGTGGCGACGGATGTTCGTGAAAAGGGATGCCATGTCCTACCCTACCGGTAACACACGATTTGCAAAAAAGGTAAGTCGATGCTTGACAGCTCAGTAATCCTGCAACTAAATGTGTTAGTTATCTTTCGTGATTGTTTTGCTTGTCTCACGCCATGACGTTCGAAGAGCATAACCGGGCTTGTGATCATCAGCATGGCTGCTTATTTGGAAACATATGGTAGTCAATTGTTTCTGTCGCTTTCACACAAGTGTCCTGTAAGGCAGCACAGCAATATACGCAAATCACAAGCTGTAGTTTGTGGAGTACGGTTTTTTCACCGCATTCAGCAACATTAGAGCAACATCACGGCGGGGGCCACCACAAATAGGGTCCACACATCGTACCCAAGTGGGGAATCAAATCTCGTCATGACGAGCTAGCGCTTCAACCACTAGGCTACCGACCCGCCCCTTTCTCACAATCGAAACCGTGCCTTTGCAAACGAACAATTTAACAGATGGGCTACCCCACCGCCCCACCATGAGATAAAATTGTGATGCTTGGTCTCTAGAAAGTATTCAATCTCGAATAGATCCTAATTGTTGTTATGGGTCAAATGCGTTTACATTGCATTAAATTGTTTTACAATGAAGGCAACAGCGACTTTCTATAATTCAGGGCCAAGTCTTGGAATACCGAAAATCCAGCAAGGAGCAATTGAATACCCCGTATAATACTTGACAGAACAACGACTCACAATTCCTGTTGCGTGTTTTCAGCGATATTTATTTCCATAAAACCGTGCTTTAAAACTCAGAAAGAAAAGTGTGCAGTCATTTTTTCAAAGTCCGAAAGCAATTCAAAACGTAACACACTAAATGCAATACTTTTGCGATTCATTTTGTCAACATTATTTGAACTAAGTATATCACCTTTTCGTGCTAGGTGCATCTGAGTGATGCATATTGTGATGTAAGATTACCTGCTGGTGGTTTGGTCATGTCCAATGGTTCTGTAGTTAGGATCCATCCATTCCAACTTGGTGTCTGAGGCTGAAAAGCCTATGGCTTTACAGGTGAGAACCAGTTTACCCGTTCCTTCGATTCGCGATATACTGTTATTTTTACTTGGGTAGATACCGACAGCTTGGTCATCTGAAACATCGGGTCATGCACAATAGAATCATCCATGCTTGAGTGTGTGTGAGTGAGGGAGTGAGTTGGGTTTTACGCCGTTTTTAGCAACATTCCAGCAATATCACGGCGGGGGACACCAGAAAAGGGCTTCACACATTGTGCCCATGTGGGGATCGAACCTGGTCTTCTGCGTGATGATCGAACGCATTAACCACTAGGCTACCCGACCACCCCTTGAGTGAGTGAGTTAGGTTTAACACCGCTTATAACAGTATCATATTCATGTATGTCACTGTTACGTGAAGAAACATTTCACCGCCTTGTTCAATAAAGCTCTATGTCATCAAGACGTTAAGAGATGGTACTCGATGCTATCCTATCTGAGGTTAGGCTAGCGGTCATTATTACATCATATACTGTTCACGTTAAAGTAAAAACACGCCAGTCTGGCTCATCATCAACTCAGGACGCTGGAGTGTCAGAAGAGCAGTGTTCCTGACTGCAGCAATGACTCTCACAATGCCAGTCAATAGATCGGGAGATACAGAACCTAAAGCACCAAGAACAATTGGGAGTCGATGGATGATATGTTTTTGTCTTCTAATATCTTCTAAATATATCCATCTAAATGTGATATATGACTATAATAGAAGGTTCGAATCCCAGATTCGAATGGCTTAAGATCTGTTAATCGACACTACAGCTGTGTCACGTGTCGACGGTGATCAACCTTGAATTATACCTGCAAGACCTGTATTCATTTCTTATAATCTCAAATGATAGTGAGTGAGTTTGTTTCTACGCCGCTTGTAGCAATTCCAGCAATATCACGACCGGGGACACCAGAAATGGGCTTCACACATAGCACTCATGTGGGATGTGTCCCTTATACAGGACACTGATTGATTATTACCCAACATGTTTTTCTAGTTTGGTATTGATATAGAATTTTCTATCAAAAGTTACTGAAATCATGAAAAAGTCCTTTTGGCAGTTGTTTAAAGCAGAAATTCTGGGGTTGAGTAATTCATGAATGTCTGTGACAAAGAATACATATATCAGTAAAATACCATATAAAAACAGTTTGTGATTGGGATCATACTGTGGTATGATACAGACCTACCTATCATACTTCAGTGGGCTGTGGTTTGTCATGCCAGCAGTCACGTCCAGGACAAACTCATGTTACTATAGAGGCAGCTGTTACAAAGCTGTGACATACATTAAGACCCTCCCTCGGACGCGTCAGTTTTACCTTCTCTTTCAATCTGAGTGAGTTTAGTTTTACACCGCTTAGCAATTTTCCAGCAAAATAACGACGGGTACATCAGAAATGGGTACACATTGTACCCGGCTCTTCGGGGTGACGAGCGAACACTTTATCCACTAGACTACTCCGCCGCCGCCTCAAATAATAGCTTGTGATCTGAATACAATGTTGTTCAAATTAGTGAGTGAGTGAATTTAGTTTTACACCGCTTTTAGCAATTTTCCAGCAATATCACGACGGGTACATCAGAAATGGGTACACATTGTACCCGGGTCTTCGGGTGGCGAGCAAAGGCTTTAACCACTACGCTACCCCAACGCCCCCTCAAATAATAGCTTGTGATCTGAAGACAATGCTGTTCAAAGAGGCCTGCGGTTTATATAGCTTATATATTCAATAGTGTGAGAGCGTGGAGGAGTGTGAGTGTGAGAATGAGTGAAGGAGTACAGTGAGTGAGTGAGTGAATGAAGGAAAGAGGTAGGGAAGGGGAAGCAGCTAACCCAGCGGCTAAAAAGGTATATGCAACTCGCTCACAGTTTACCTGAGAAATCCACCCAGATAGTTTTCTTCACAGTCTTCCCTGCGATTGTTGCACTGCATGTATAATTCCCTGTATTCTTGACGTAATCGTCCCAGTATTCCCGGAACCCCAACACGTGACCGTTGCTTGAGCCTCCCAATCTCCTGAAAGTCAAACACAATATGATTCAAACAATCATTGAAGCCATTAGATGCTTATATGTCATCGAATCCCCATTGCTCGGATCGATTTTCCTGATTGCATTGTCTTTTCAAGACATTATTTATATATATAGATCGACGTCGTGTATTAGGCAGATAGTGAGGCATTTAACAACTCACACACTCACATACGCCCTCACTCACAGACGGTTAATGCTTGTTTTGTTTTTTGTTCTTAATCAGTCACCCTATCAGTGTTCACGGGCGGTGGGGTAGCCCAGTGGTAAAGAGTTCGCTAGTCACGCCGAAGTCCGGGGTTCGATTACCCACATGGGTACAATGTGTAAACCCCATTTCTGGTGTCCCCAAAAATAGTTCAATTTGGATAGGAAGTTTAAGCGTTAACAAACTTTTCAAAGACACACATCTTATGAACGCACCACCAGTTCTCTTTATCAGCACCCCGAAGCACAACGCATAGGATGCACGTGCACAACGCAGTAGACTCAATACACGTGCATGGGGTGTTATTCTTGATTTTGACGGTTTTCAGGTAGGTCGATAAATCTCTGTATACCATTAATTTTTACAATAGTTTTTGCATCACACAGTTGTTAGTGTTTGTTTTTAGCCGGGTTTTCTTTTTTGAAAATGAAAATCGTACACATGCAAATTTCACGTCATTCACCAATCATCTTTCAAGAGCGATTACTGTACACACAACTATGGTCATAAGGAAGTGCAAGTGGTGATGCACTCTCAAAGCATTCATTATTATCATATCAACATTGATAATGTGTGCACACTGGATGTTTGACTTAGAGGTACCCTGTCTTGAGGCGGTGTGAGTAAAGACAATAAGTTAATATTATGATATGATTATTGTTAATCTCTGCTGGGCTAATGTTTTAACGGATGAACCTAAACTGACGCACAAAAGAAAGTACACACATGGAGTTTCGGGATTATTTTCCAAAAGAAAAGTGTTTTGATTGTGATTTATTACATTTGTTTAGTACGTGTTGCCTAAACACCACATATTTCCTTTTCAAAAATATACTCTTCCAAAAAAGAAACGCATAGGCGTTTTGCATTTTTAAATATCTATTAATTGCCTATTGTGTTCAGACAATCGTCAAAATATGTAACAAAAGTGTTGATAACATGATTTTACACAATTGCACAAGTAAAAATCGACTTTACCTCAAAATGTTGATTTTGATGAGATTTCTTACAAGGATTAAAAAGGCATCGCCACAACGCAACAGCAATCACCTTCCACTTGAAATTGTACATCAAAGAGCATGCACTGTCTGGCTATAAAAATCCAGATTACTTTCGGAAATCTGCAATCGTTTTGAAGGAGTTTCAAGGTCAAATTACTGCGCCACGTCTTGACGCTGCGACACGGAACATCGAAATTGAAAGGATCCACGCTGGATATTAACAATCTTCTAACAGGTGTCTGAATGTTAGTCTGAGCCGATATCACGATTTGCAGCTCGTTGCAACCAAACAGGTATAACAAATGACCGTCACCGTACTGGCAGACCTAGAGTCACCACTGCATCCCAAGATCGGTACATCCGGGTACTACATTTGCGTGATCGTACTGCCACGGGTGAGAGGACAGCAGCCAGGGTGCCTGGGCTTCGGAGGATATCCGGTCAAACTGTACGGAACAGGTTGAGAAAGATTGGACTGAGAGCCAGGAGCTCCGACGTCGGGACTGCTACGTCGTCACCATCGCGCTCAGTGTGTCCGTTATCTAAAATTATCCACTTGCTTGTATAGCCATTTCCTTCTTCTAAACTGATGTAAAAATTCATGTACTAAAGTCTATTTGTGGACGAGTTATACATGTTTGAAAATACATTTTCGCAACAGATTCCGGGTTATGCGTTTCTTTTTTTCAATAGTATATATACGTCAGTTTATTAGCAGTGCTGATACCGATTTTAATAAGGTTTAAACATCAAAGTGCTAAACCCCAAAACTGAATATATTCTATCAACATAATGACTTAGTTCATTACGCACCAGCATGGCATCCCAGCACCTTTACAAGGACCCTACATAACAGACTGTACATGTCGAGGCCCACAGACCACTGCCCAGGGGTTCTTAGTAGAAAGGGGCTATAGGGTAGCCCCGTGGTTAAAGCGTTCGCTTGTCACGCTGTAGGCCCGATTTCGATTCCCCACCTGTGAACAATGTGTGAAGCCCATTACTGGTGCCAACCGTGATATTGCTGGAACATTTCTAAAAGCGGCGTAAGATCCAACTCACTCACTCTTAGTAGAAAGTCATGAAAACTCACTGACACTAACAGTTCAACACAGGGGTGTGTACAAGCGTATTCTTCAAAGAAACCCACGATGGAAAAATCACTATAAATATGCCTTTACTTTGGGCAAAATTTCGCCAGGTAAGAAAGTTTACTGTTCGCCTGTTGCTCTCACATTTACACTCTTGAAAAAGGAAACGCATAGGCCAAAAATAAGGTAATGTATTAAACGTATGTATGTGTAGATAAGTGGATAAAGCTTGAACATAGATGAAGGAAATTCGACACACTGATGAACATATGTATTGTTGTCATTGTCAGCATTACTTCAGTTCACTGCACATGTGTGGACACTAGGGGGCGTTCAGGTCAGTACCTGGTGACACCACCCCTTGCAGCCGTCACTGCTCGACACCGCCTTGGAAGGGATTGCACAAGTCGTCTGAATTTTGCTTGGGGAATTCTTCGCCTTTCTCCTGCAACGCGTTGGCAAGTTCTGCAAGTGTCTGTGAACGATGGTGACGTTTACGGACGCGTCGATCAAGTTCGTCTGATAGATGCTCGATCGGGGTCAGATCAGGGAATGTGGAAGAACAGGGAAGGACGCTGACGTTTTTATTGGCGAGATAGGCACTTGTTACACGAGCTGTCGTGTTGAAACGGCAAAAGGTGGGAGGAGGTGAGGTTGCAGGATTTGGTCGATGAAGCGATTTGCTGTAAGATTGCCTTGAACCACCACTAGCTCGTATACACCCGTGTGGGACATGGCTTCCCATACCATGACGTTTCTCCGCCAAATCTGTCCACCTGTCGAACGCAGTTCGGCGTAAAACGTTCGTTTTGACGTCGATAGACACGTTGTCACCCATTCCATCGTTGCAGAGGAAACGCGATTCATCACTGAACCAAACGCGTTCCATGAGTTACCCAGGATCCATGCCTGTACCCTGCTGCACCATTGGACACGTCGTTGTCGGTGTAGTCGTGTCAGGACATGTCCAACTTTGGGTCGAATTGCTCGAAGTCCCACTTCTCTCAGACGATTTCTGATGGTTTGGTAGGATATTCTTCAAAGACCACGCACATGTCCGTTGCTGTAGCAAATCGGTGACGTAGGTGAAACACCCGGATGAATCGGTCCTGAGCAGGAGTGGTCACTCTTGGTCTTCCACTTTTGGGACGATCTAAGGTGGAATTGAACTGGGTATATCGATGTCATAATCGAGATATGGTGTTGTGGTGGACGTTAAAGTGTCTTGTAACGCGGACGGGGATTCCCATGCTTCCAAACGTCCATGTACCCTCAAAGTGGGTTTACGTAGCGTAAAATTATTGTCCTCCTGAGAGGGTACGTAAGTCCCAAAACTTTCAAAGTCAATTTAAACTTGCCAGGATTTTTAAACGTAGCATTCTTGTAATTTTATTTAAATTTGTAGCTAACATTCCTTACAATCGCCAGCAGCTGAAGGGATGGTGTAAATCCAACTAGGGTCCATGAAGGTAGCCAAGGTACTGTAAGTCCCCATGGTCCCTAGTTTGGTGATCTACCTTCTGGTGTTGGCGATCTATAGCTTGTTTTTATATTGTATTGTCTCCTTTAATTGCAATATTTTAGCTTTGTTCGCTAGTTTTATATTCATATCTGTGATTGTCTAGTAATTTTACTGTCCTTCGTCGGCAGGTTTTTATAATAACTATATATATTCTATTACAATGTCCAATGTTCTCGTCACGATATGGCTGAAATATTGCCGATGTGCCGTTAAATGCTAACTCACTCACTCCAAACGTCCAATGGCGATATTTCGGTCAGTCTTTGCATTTTGAATCTTCGTTTACGTCCTAAATTTCGTAATGAAATGATGAATTTGATTTGGCTTTTATAGTCGATGTCTCTACTCATGTGTCCGACACATTGAACATGCATTTCGTGGATAACTTTTTCTGCATGCACTTTTCATGCAACGTTTGAATTTTTTTATGACAAACCTTTACAAACATATTTTGGGATGCGTTTTCGCGCAATACACAACAACCACGACATTCAAACATAGGAATTGTCTAAATGACGATTGCTGTCAACATATATCGAAACGAACTGCTGAAAACGCCTGAGCGTTTCTCTTTGTTTTTTGAGTGTAACATATTGTGATTCTCGTGTGGATTTTGTAAACACTATCAAACTATCAAAACCTGACAGTTCCGATAATGTTTGATAACTAAATTATCTTGTGTCATTATTGAGCATACAACTTGACTTTTGTTACATGATTTTGATATAGGGAGCTTTTAAATAAGCGTTTTGCTTATCGATCCCAGTTTTCAGGAGAAATGACACTATTAAATGAAATAGCAGGCGATAGAATAAAGGCTCAAGAAACTCTCGGGAGTCAAGGTCACGCGGTCACCATTCCACCTGCTTTCTTCACTTAGACTTCCGGCCTGTTGACTTCACAAGACATCATGCCACGAGACTATTCTAAATAACTGGAAGCATTCTTACCTGTCATAATATTCAATTACGTCTCCGTCAGGATCCACCCATTCTACCTTTTTCTGTCGTGGGTCTTCAATTCCGTTGACAAAACAGGTTACATACCATGGCCGCCCCTCCTTCCTGAGTCTCGGCCCGGGGGGGATCGAAAACAAGTTCTTGTGCACCTGGTATGAAACATCAACAAATGATTTCATATCATAAAAGTGAGTGGCTGAATGAATTGGTTGTACGTCGCTTTCAGCAATATTTCAGCAACATCATGATGGGAGACTCTAAACAACTTTAAATCTATTCAAATATTTGAGCCTACTCTTACTCACTGTGCTACCCTGTGTCCTTAAAGGCTTAATGGGACCACTAATTATAACCTTGCTTAAAGTGATTTCATCAAACCAATGACTAATATCATTAAATCAGTTTTTCCTACCTGTAAATAATATACAGAATTCTTGATCTCATGCTTGCGGTGGCTGGCTTTGTGTGCTGGCGATTAGGTGCCTGACTCTGAGGGTGTGGGTTCGAATCCCGGATTCCCGTACTAGAATCTGTACTTGTTTTTATCTATTCTAAATTCCTTTCCATACAATTATACAATTATAGAGCAGACATGATATGTGGACAAGAAACACTTCAATGATCAGTACTTCGGTCATGTTATGCAGGTCATGGATAAGCGAAATGGGTACGGAATTGTTTAACAGATTAATTCATTAATACTATATATAATTCACAATATTATTAAAAATAAATAAAAATAAAGTGATATAGCTCACAGCACTGTGATCAATCATTTTATGAGCGCTTCAAAGGATAAATCGGGCAGGTGTTTCCATTTTTTCTTAAAGTGGCTATATCTGTTATTTTTTCTTGCTACGAATTGTATCATTTTACAAATTTCCTTTATTGTTGAGACAAATCTGTCAAAAGATAGGGAAAGCTGTTGGAGACTTGAGATGTAGATAAATCTTTTAGCTATGAGTAAGATATGATTAACTATGTGAGTGTTTGAGCCTAACCAAAACACTATACATTATTTTGTTACTTTCAGGTTACTTTCGAAATTAATGAAATTCTCTACTTTCTGCCGGAAGCTGAAAACAGTCTGACATTCATAGAAGACATATAAAATATTTTCAGAGTTAGTGTTACAAAAAGGGCATAGATCATCATCGACTAACCTCAGTTTCAGTAACTCTTTTTTGTGTGTATATTACTCTGTGAATGAATCTGTACTGAAAGTCTAATAGCTTGCAATCATTTGTACATTTTCTATAACAAACAAAGGCTTCTTTGATCCAAAACAGAGTTCCAATGTTTTAATACCTTTGGTTTATTATCATTCTTAATTAATTTATCACAAAATATCGTTGAGCTTGTATCATTTGAGATCATATCAAGATTAATAATGTTGATATTTAGCTGACATAAATTATGTGTTTTGTTTCTAAGAAGATGCTTCCACGTATCTGGGATATTGTTTAATACACGTTGATAATCTAGGACGTTTCCTTATATTCTGTATGTTTGTTGAATGTTTTCAGAACTGAGAAAGCAACTTTCACCACAAATATCTCTCATACTGTGTAAACCACGATCAAACCAATTCTTTATCATATATGAGGATTTAATAAGATGATTTAACCACAGTGGTTGTACCATGATTTGGTGTTAATATCTTCATAGTCTAGATTCTGTTTTCTATAAAATATCCCCCAGGCCAAAAGAACATCTCTCCAAAAAGGGTTGTCTGAATAATTAGATAAACAATTAACAGCATTTGAGCCCAGAGTTAACAAATGTCTTAATTGAAAGATGCTGTTAAAGCTTGTATTCCTCTTTATAATGGTGATAATTTCAAGGCATTGATAAAAGAATCTAGATTTATAATTCTGAGGTCGCCTTCATGATAATTTCTAGTTATGGTTGTTCTTTTAATTTTGTCATTTGTATCACTCCACACCAATTTTAAAATTATGCTGTTCAAAACTTTAAGGTTTTGGGAGGGTTAGGAAGTGCGGAAACGATGTGTACTGGAGCTGAAATAGCTAGGGTTTTAATGACAGTGATTTTTCCAATTAAAGTCAAATTCCTTTTTCGCCAACTAGCAAGCAATCTATTTATATGTTCTAAGCGTCCCCTTGCGTTAATCACCCATAGCTCATTTAGTGAAAACGTCACAGTTTTCACAGTGCCAGTCAAGATTCAAATCACTGACTAATGTGAGTTTACTGCCTGACATTGAGCCTATCCAAATAGCTTTAGCTTTTGTCAATGTTCATTTTGAGTCCTGACATTTTATGAAAGGTATTTAGTGTTTGAATTGAAGTATTAAGACTTTTATCTGATCCATCAAGAGAGAGCTGTGTGTCATCGACATATTATCCCAGATTCTGTTCACTGTTATTTAATGTAATACCCTATGGTATCAGGGTTACTTCTAGTCATTATACCTAGAATCTGTATTTTACTGAGAAACGATCATGTCAAGGTCAGCCATGTATGTATGATGTATGTATGTGTGTGTGTGTGTGTGTGTGTGTGTGTGTGTGTGTGTGTGTGTGTGTGTGTGTGTGTGTGTGTGTGTGTGTGTGTGCCAGGGATATCAGCCAGGGATGCTGTGGGCAACCAAAGTTGCCGCAGGGAACCAGACGGTTATGATAATCTTGCCTCCGTGACGTTGCTCTTGACGTCCAAAACGTCGGTCGGTTCGGTCCGTTGCCACCGACCACAGGGTTACTGCATGGAGTTACCATGACCACCAAACTGTCTAGCAACAAGGTTTTGTCCAGTTACAGTTTCGAGTATTCAAATTACGGTCATTTTCAGGGGACCGTGACATAACGATGTGAAAGTATGATGTTACCTGTCGATGTCCAATCTGAAGCAGTAAGAGGACCATAATTATGTCTGGAAAAGGAATTAACAGTGAAACCTACAAACAACAAAGGAATGATATACGGGTAACAATTGTATAGTACAATTACCAAGTTTACACAATACTAATTGCTGCAAAGGAAATAGAATGTCAGTACACAACAGCGAGGCAGTGCAATTTCAAATGCAATATGACGGGTGTGATAATAGCAATAACCTAAGAGATACTGCTTTTCAACAGGGACAGTGGTAAAGCTGCATGGATATAGACGTAGGCTTGTTACGAGGGGGGAGTGCAGAGAAAGGGACAGCCGAGAGTGCGAGAAAGGATGGAGACGGCACAGCACAGGTGAATGAAGCAATAACTTTGTCGGCACTTGTGCACGTGCTTCTCTAACACCTGGCTGTCCCTTTCTCTGCACTCCTCCCTCGTAACAAACAGTGAACTGTGTCAATATTTTAATGATAGTTTGTTAAACAACTTTTTTTAATTTTAGGACATAAATTCTGCACACAAATCACAGAGTTGGTCTGATATTTTGATTATGATCAGCGTTTCATGTGAGTATTATATGTTTATTAGTTTTTTAGTTACATTGCAATTCATCGGTCCGCTTTTGAGCCAAACGCACTATACTCTTGACCCCAAACTGCCATAAAACTGGAATATTGCTGAGTGCGGCGTTATACAACAAACAAACAAAGCATCTTGACCCCAACCTAAAACAGCCAGGAAAACACTGCTGTCTTCTGTATCCGAACAGACACGATGCAATACAATCACAGCTATGTCTGACAATGAATGATACAAGATATGTTGCAATCGTTATCACGTTTCGTGTCTAAGCCCAAACTTATTTAAACAGGTTCACAGAAATTTATAAATTATGCTGTTCAAATTCTTAATAAAGGTTTTGAGTTGGTTAGGAAGTGCGGAAACGATGTGTACTAAAGTTGAAATAGCTAAGGTTTTAATGACAGTGATTTATCCAATTAAAGTCAAATTCTTTTTTCGCCAACTACCAAGCAATCTATTTATATGTGCTAAGCGTCCCCTTGTGTTAATCACCCATAGGTCATTTAGTGAAGCATTCAATGTAATTCCTAACACTTCAAAGTTTCCACGGTGCCAGTCAAGATTCAAATCACAGACTAATGTGAGTTTACTGCCTGACATTGAGCCTATCCAAATAGCTTTAGCTCTTGTCAATGTTCATTTTGAGTCCTGACATTTTATGAAAGGTATTTAGTGTTTGAATTGAGATATTAAGGCTTTTATCTGATCCATCAAGAGAGAGCTGTGTGTCATCGACATATTATCCCAGATTCTGTTCACTGTTATTTAATGTAATACCCTATGGTATCAGGGTTACTTCTAGTCATTATACCTAGAATCTGTGTTTTACTGAGAAACCATCATGTCAAGATCAGCCATGTATGTATGATGTATGTATGTATGTATGTATGTATGTATGTATGTATGTATGTATGTATGTATGTATGTATGTATGTATGTATGTATGTATGTATGTATGTATGTATGTATGTATGTATGTATGTATGTATGTATGTATGTATTTATGTGTGTGTGTGCGTGCGTGCGTGCGTGCGTGGTAGTATTGAGGTTGGGGTGGAGGAGGGGGTAAATATAACATATGTTACTTTTGACCGCTTCCTAAATGGCATTGTGTAATCATAGCTTTCAGCCGTAGGAGCCGTGCCAATTTACACTCATCAGAGGGGTACACAAAGTCCGCAGTCTAGACTACAAGTTGTCCGACTTCCATTTTTGTGGAAGTCGCGGTGGCTGAGCGGGATAGGAGGCTGACTTTGTGTGCTGGCGAGTAGGTGCCTGACTCTGAGTGTGTGGGTTCGAATCCCTGATGGAATCTGTACTTTACTAAGAAAGTGTAATCCCTATGTAACATATGCTTAATATTGTCACGTATAACAATTAGCGTGATATGAGCAGGATTAGGCCAAGAGCAATATAACAAGATGAAAATAGATCTGAAGAATTAATCACTTAGTAAATTGCAGGCGTATGTTTCAACAACATGAAATAAACGCATTAACTGCCGATTTGTTTGATAACTTAGTCCTATATATAAACAACACAATAAATTCAAAATACACTCTACTCACAAGCAGCCAGCTGGGGGGTCAGACATATCAGCAACAGCAGTAGATGCGCCATGTCAGCGTCCGACGTGCAAGCGAAGTGTCCTATGGATAGCAGTGAGTTGGTGATGAGTGCAGCGATAAGTAGAGCCCACTTAGTGTTAAGTGGTGCTGTCAAACGGTCCACTCTTGAAAGGTCACTGCAAGTAGTACACAACGATCATGTCAATGTCACCCATGCATGTATGTATGTGCGTGCGTGCGTGCATGCATGCATGCGTGCGTGCGTGCGTGCGTGGTAGTGTTGAGGTGGGGGTGGAGGAGGGGGTAAAATCCTCAAAGTCCTTCGCCAAAACTTGGTCAGAATGTACTTAGGTTATAAACAAAACTACGGTTTTATACGTGTTCACTACCTGTACTATATGTAGGTAATCGGCAAAACTACTTACATATGTATGTCGACTATCAATACTACATATAACCAAAACTTATAAACATTCAGTGTTCAGTGACGTTTTTAAGTGGTGTGTGATAGTATACTTATACATACATGCTCATTGTGACAGCACTATGTAGCATACAGCAAAAACGTTGGTATATACATATTCTCTCAGAGTACTACACATTGCGTATAAACAAAATCAGTTCCAGGGACATCAGCCAGGGATGCTGTGGGCAACCAAAGTTGCCGCAGGGAACCACACGGTCATGATAATCTTGCCTCCGTGACGTTGCTCTTGACGTCCAAAACGTCGGTCGGTTCGGTCCGTTGCCACCGACCACAGGGTTACTGTATGGAGTTACGATGACCACCAAACTGTCTAGCAACAAGGTTTTGTCCAGTTACAGTTTCGAGTATTCAAATTACGGTCATTTTCAGGGGACCGAGACATAACGATGTTTCACTCAAACCAACCTGTACTGTGAAAGTATGATGTTACCTGTCGATGTCCAATCTGAAGCAGTAAGAAGACCAGGATTACGTCTGAAAAAGAAATTAACAGTGAAATCTACAAACAACAAAGGAATGACATAGGGGTAACAGTTGTGTAGTACAATTACTACGTTTACACATCAATACTAATTGCTGCAAAGGACAAACAATGTCAGTACACAACAGCGAGGTAGTGCAATTTCAACGGCCATGCAATATGACGGGTGTCATAATAGCAATGACGTAAGAGACATTGCTTTTCACCAGCGACAGTGGTGAAGCTGCATGAAGATAGACGTAGGCTGACTATCCCGGTGATTCTATTGACACATCAGCTGCTTGTGATGTCATGTCAGATGACAGAGGTATGCACTTGCCCCCTTATATACTTAACAACATTAGAAACGCACCACCTATAAAATACGAAATATCCCCGTCAGACTGAAATGATATCTGAGCATCGTCGGTACACATTAGTGTGGTGCGTTTCTAATGTTCTTCAGTATATATATGAAAAACGTCAAGACATGTCTTTGCTAAGCTGGATTAATCTATGATGTTCTAGAAGCTTCCAGATTACTCTTGACCCCAAACCGCCATAAAACTGGAATATTGCTGAGTGCGGCGTTATACAACAAACAAACAAAGCATCTTGACCCCAACCTAAAACAGCCAGGAAAACACTGCTGTCTTCTGTATCCGAACAGACACGATGCAATACAATCACAGCTATGTCTGACAATGAATGATACAAGATATGTTGCAATCGTTATCACGTTTCGTGTCTAAGCCCAAACTTATTTGAACAGGTTCACAATCACTTCCATGTTTGAGGTAAAACACAAATTAAAATTTATTTGTCATTATGATATGTGGCGAGTAATACCCAAACTCGTATGCAGAGAATGTTCGCAAAGTGAGCACATCGTTGTTTAGATAGACAGACACACATTTTATTCAGTAAAAGGCAACTGACCAAAAATACATTCATAAATATAATTTTTGCATGATTTTGCATGCGTTTTAAAGAAAAACGTCAGATGTACATCCTAACATTTTATAAAAATAGGCATTAATAATTCATAAACGTTTATATTATATATGAAGACATTATATTTACTAAACTGCGTTGTGATAGAGGGCGCCCGTTCCTCCCTCTCTCTCCCTCTCTCTCTCAAATATTTACCTTGAAATGTATTCCTTATATCTAAGTAGGCTTTACAATAAAGTAAAACATGCATTTCATCCTCACTAAATTAAGATTATTTTTATGATTGTTTTTGCAAAAAGGACAAAATCTTGAATCAAAAGGGACATTGTTATATCTACCAGTCACAGAACTAAGTTTAAAATTACCTCATCTACTGCCGCTGATGGTGGTGGTGGCAAGAACAACGACCTAGGCGATTTCGTCGATACCGAAGGAGCGGTCAGCAACACTCGGGACGACCTGATACGCAACGACGAGGACGAATGGACGGTAACCCCAGCCTTCCCCGGCAGGCTGTTCCACCTGGACGACGTCGAGACCACGGCCGTCTCCAGAAGCACGCAGTACACTATCATCTTCTACGACGACAACAGATGGGTATTAGTGCCATCCCAAATCGACTGGAATCGCAACATCACGCTCGGTTCTCCCCACGTTTTCACGGACAACAAAGATCACTACCTGACGAAAGTCGTGAACAACGGAACGCTTCTCGTGGCTAACGTCCCTACGCAAAAACGCAGCGTGATCGTCAGCACGTTGAGGCAAAGAATAGCCCACCTGCTGTCGAGCAAACCCGGGATGCAAAAAGTGGGATTGCAGATGGTGTCGGAATTCCTCAGCGTGGTAAACGTCCTGGAAAATCTGCCGGCAAAATCCACGCTGTACATCCAAGTCTACAATAAGACAATTAGCACAACATGTAAAGTAGACATTTGGGAGAGCTCCTATCCTAATGTATACTCATTTGAAACGGAGCTAATAAACAATGAAATCTGTATATCTCTCTTGTTTCTTAATGTTTTGTACCCGTGAAGGTCCCGGTTAGAATGAACCTTCAGTACCCATGCTTGTCGTAAGAGGCGACTAACGGGATCGGGTGGTCAGGCTCGCTGACATGGTTGACACATCTCATCATATCCCAATTGGGTAGATCGATGTTTATGCTGTTAATCACTGGATTGTCTGGTCCAGACTCGAATATTTACAGATCATACAGCTGGGATATTACTGAGTGCAAGATAAAACTAAACTCACTCACTCACTTAATGCATTGCTGGAGGATTGACATGAGACAACTGTTCGTTGTACAAATTCTTTGTTTTACAACTGATAAATAATCCTCCTTATGTCACTGAACACACAGAATACAATTCTTAACACCAGGAGGTCCCAACATCTTCATACCCCACACAATACAGTCACAAGAAGCTTACACCAGTATTTCATTGTACTGTCTGTGGAATAAGAGCGGCTAACGGCATGTGAGTAACCTATGTGTCACATGATGTCAAAAAAGTGTCATATATAGTATTCAGGGATGGTTTTTTTATGTTTGCAGTTTGAGAGTAAAGTGCAGCTTTAAATTTTGAGTAAAAGCACTGGAAAGTTTTACAGGAGAACCCATGTAGGTTTGTTTTCTTATCCAGTAATATATATATATATATATATATATATATATATATATGACAAATGCTAAATCATTTCATCACTGTACAACCACTTGCCACCCTACTTGAGATATTTAGTGACCATCAGTCCTCAACTGCTTACTATTTCTTGTATTTAATTCCGGTCAGACACTTCTCTCTCTACATAACGTGGAAGCTGACCACTTGTCAGCATACATTCAACATCACATTGAAAATTATCGACAGCCATTCCATGTACTCACGATTACAGTCTGATCTTTAAACAACGGAAGCTGACCATTTTTGACACTACATTCGCCACCACGCTGAAAATTATCAACAACCATACCATGTGCACATGATTACAGTCTGACCTTTAAATTACAATAAAATAATTTCTGGTCAACTTGAACGGGCTACTTTTGCGAGCACAGGAAGCCACACACAGGCCGACACTCAGCGAAAAACGATTCTACTGTTAGTATAGTGCATAGACAACACCCTCCATTCACGCATATCATATACGGTGGCGCATGAATTTTATTTGCTAACAGCTACAATCGCTTATTGTTCACAGATATGTAAAATAAATCCTCAGAACTTCGGAGTTGTTCCTTGTGTACCAAATGACAGCTTATTTTAAACTGGCTAGTGATACCTTTGATTTAACAAAATGCGCTCTGATATTTTCACAACTTTTGACCTAATAAATAGCAGCTAAATTCCCATCATTGTGTGATATTAATTCTACGTTGAAAAGAGATTTTGCTGTGTGAACACTCGAGTGGGAAAACTCATAAAATAATTGAATGATAATCACAGACCACTAAGGTAAACCTTAAGGTCACACACACACACACACACACATAAAGATGTCAAGATATTTGGAGTTTAACAGTGGATGTATATGCAGCATTATCCAGCAAGGATAAAGTAATGGGAATGAACTGAAAAAATAACAACGGCGTTCTCTCCCAAAGTAATGCAGTGTTATTAACGTGTTTCTTTATCCGTAACTGAAAACTGATGTCGTGATGTATACTCATGCGCTTCGTTTATCATATCCATGCTCAGGAGCTGAAAAGTACAGAACAAAAGCAATTTAACGTATGATATCAACTGAACTTATGACATAACACAAACGTATCATACTGAACCAGGAGAGAGGCATACACTGAGTTATTGCTGTTAAAGGTTTCAAGGACACAGTTGATCCATGGCGACGACAAAAACAGAGGTCTGCAAATTTACATTTGTCAGAGGGATATACAAAGGACCATGATCTCGATAACTAGTTGTTAGATTTTCATTTTTTGTGAAATCCGCGGTTGCTGATTAAATAATCTGCGAGCCATGACAATTTTCCCCATGAACTTCATATTGATGTTTAGTATCCATTGAACAGAACAGGTGTTTGGTCTGCACTGGCACCAAATATGTCTTTCAAGAATTAAATAAAATAATTGTGGTACTAATAATTGTAGTATTCTAGGATGTAGATAAAAAAATGAAAATGAAACTGATTTGCAGAAGCATACCATAGCAATG